CGATCGATCGCGACGAGTGGAAAGGAGTGGTGAGGTGAGTCTTGAGTGCTAGAGGTTTCAGGCCGTTGCTCCTGCGAGCGTCCCATGCACCATCATGCAGCCAGAGCGTCTTCTGTTGTTCTCAACTCTGCTGTTGTGGAAGGAGGTCACGGCGCTTTCTGGGAACGCCCGAGGCTGAAGCGTGCATGTCATGCAGCAGCTAGCATGTACGTGTGCTCACTCACACGCAAGCCAAGTGCATTTCGGGGGGGGGGAATTGAGGGTGCCTGAGCGCATATTGCATGCTGCCAAGGGCGTGGGAGCCTATAGCTAGGCTGCACTGTACCCGTTATTCAAGTCAAGTCACGAGTAGCCCATGCAGCCAAGGCGGCATTCAGATTCCAGGTTGATGGTCACAGTTTGGAGTCAGTGCGTAATCTCATCTGACACCTCGTGCAACGAGATTCACGGTTGAAAGAGACAGCAGATTGTGAGCCAGAGACACACCACACCTGTCGCGCTTTTGTCTCTCATCGCCTTGAACGGCACAGGTGACTACGAGGAGCAAGGATCGAGTGCAGCCCATCCAGGTTGCAAGCCTGCAACGTGCGCGTTCAGCAGGCTCCTTCCTCCACCCTCGAGATCGAGCGCGCGCGCGCGCGTTGCATGCAACCCCCGCCGACGCAGCGCTTTCAGACTCTCATCACAGCCAGTTCACAGCCACACACCTGCCGCCATCGTTCGGTCAACGCAACTGCCGCCCCGCCTCATCGCGTTCAAACACACGGACCGCTTCACTCATCGGCGCGCAGAACTCTCTCGTCGAAGGCAAGCGCTCATAACCCGTACATGTCCTATTTGCGACCTCTCTATACGTGCGACTTGGCAACCAACACCGGTCAACCTCCATCCATTCCAGCTCCTGCGGGAGGGCCCTCTCGCGCTCACTCGGTGACGTCTCTGGACATCCTGCAAATCTTCGCCTGACCCTTCCAAGAGTCCAGACATGTCCTCCACGGCCCTGCAGCGCAGAACCAATGTGTTTCTTCCTCGACAGCAACCCAGCGAGTCGGCGCAACCGGCCGCTGCCGCTACCAGCACCAGCACCTCCCGTCCTGGCCACGCAAACGACCTGGCCATCGCGGTGCCCGCTGCTGCAGGAAGCATCATCGTCTTGATGCTTCTCTCCTGGGCGGTAGTCGTGCTGACCAAGAGACGGCGCAGACGCGAATTATCGACTAGCGCAGCAGGGGCGAACGAAGCCCAGGATGCGGCCGACCTCTCTTCTCAGCGTCGACCGAATACGGCCGCGGGCGGCACAGCCCCGCGAGCAGAAGGCGGATCTGTAAGAATGTTGCTCTTCCACCTTTTTGGAGGCAGCGATCCACGAGTGCAGGCTTCCCGAAATACTGCCCAAGCGTCCGCGGAGACACCTGAGGAGCGGACGAGGCGTCGAGATGAGAGGCGAGCTATGCGCTTGAGGAGAACAGACTCTGGGCATAGCGTCAAGACCATACCCGTCTATCAAGAAGAGGTTGGCGAGGGCGAGCTGGTACTGTACAAGTGAGTCCTGCCCGACAGCCGATAGCCGAGTCGAGCTTCGGCGCCCGCCATGTTACCGATCACCTTTTAATTCTGTCCCACTTTGCCATCTTCTGATAGAGCGCAAGGCTCGGGGTCTCAAGTGAACCTCACACCCATGCCGACCAGGGGATCAGCCTCCGACGCGTGGGAAAGGGGACACGAGCGCGCAGCATCGCTTCCGCTCCTGGGTGGACAGACCTCGGCTCCTCATTCAAGGACGAACAGCCGGCGAAGCGTCATCGGAGATGTCCGCGCAAGCTTGCGGCGCAGCCTGGTCGGAAGTCCCAGGCGCGACTCTGTGCGCGCCCGTCACGCCAGCTCTGGTGACGCTGAAGCCAACACAGATTCGAATGAGATGGAGTCGCTAAACTTTGTCGCAGCATCCACTTCGATGGGCACCCTGGACGAGACCCTATCCCTGGATCGTAGTCCGGAAGAAGGGGAAGAGGAGCGTGAGCGATCTGACACTGCAGAAGTACCTCTGGATGACACACCAGATTACACCTCGCTGTACCCTAGCGTTCACGCTGTTGCCGAAAGTCGACAGTCGCCAGTACCAGTTACGGAGTCTGCTGCACCGCGGAGAAGCGGACTACGGTCAATCTTCGATCCAAGGCGTCTGACACTCCACGTCACCTCTCCTGCCGGGTGCAGTCGTAGAGCAGAGGGTGTCCCAGAAGCGAATCTTGGCGTTGCTCCGTCGCAAAATGCCGTTTTGCCCATGCATCATCGCAGGATGGCATCTCACGCCAGCGTCTTCTCGACGCTGACCGGTTTCACAGATGGCAGATCGCTGTCCCTGCATCCCACTCAAAGCAGGAGCAGTGTAGCACCTGGCTCCGCTTCGCCTTCCGGGCACCATCGACATGGCTCCACTCCATCGTCATATCAATCCGCAATCAGGAACGGTGACGTGCGACTTTCATTCAGCCCTAGCGTGGTCAGCCTCGCGCAGCCCTCGCTGTCTGACTTGTCTGGTACAGCAGTCCCAAGAGTGCGAGGTCAAGCGATATCCGGGCCTGTAGAGGGAAGCGTCATCCGCACCTCGTTCCTCAACTTTGGCACCCCTACAGGACCCGATGGGAACAGAGCTCGACCCACCCCAGAGCAGCTGAGGTTCCTCAACTCTGTCGAAAGTCTGGGACGCTACGGAGTGCCTGTGAACGGTCCCAGTGGAGGTGAAATCGAGGCGCCTCCGCCAGCCTGGGAGTCGCTTGGTCTGCATGCCGATGATGCTCCGTCATCCGCAAGCGCTGCGCCAAACGTCGACGACTTCGCAGCCTTGCAGTCCTGCGCTCGTGCCCCTCCACCTCTGCTCTTGTCTTCTGAGATTGCTGTGCGCGAAGGTCAAGGACAGCGACGCGAGGAAGGCTATGCGATCAGTCCCATTGGGCCCCAGCCTGCTTCGGCAGCACCAGCAGAAAGTGCTGCGCAGTCCGCTGATGCACAAGTGGACCCACAGTCGTCTGGACCTACCGAAGATGAGAATCCAACGAGCATGCCTTCGTGAAAGCACTCGCCCTTTGAATTTTCAAGATTGCACTCTTCATGACGATGTCGAGCTTGCCCTTGAAATCCAAAGTCACGTCGATAGCTGATTGATGTCAGCGTTCAAATCCAGCATCGCGACTCTTGCTTTAAACAAATTTGTCCCTCGCACCACACTCGTAGCCCTGCTCGTATCTGTATTCTCGTCGATGTCCACACTGCTATCCTACAGCGTCAAGTGTCTCTGTTCGCCTCTCACACATATCGCGGTAGCGACTCGATCAACCTGGTGATTTCATCACATTCCCCTCCGCTCTCGCACCCTATCATGTCATGTCCTCGCCTGCGCATCCTTCGCGCCCCGTGCATCCATCCAATGCATCCGTCTGTCACGCAACTACGCAGCTTGTCCATCAGATCAAAATTTTTCAAGTACATAATTACAGCAACAAGAGGCAGCTCTGCAGCGCGCGCGAATTTGCTGGGTTGCAGTCCCGAATCGAGAATCAGTCATGTCTTCGCTTGCCGCCCAAAAGATGCTCAAGACCTTCGAGGCCCAGTCGGTCTAGGTGAATCAGATGACCCCTTTCTCTTCGCGCATACACGCCAATGTAGAGGATTGTGGCGACGATGAGGAAAGCGTAGGATGTGATGGCAGCGTTGCGGAGCTCGGACGGCCGAGACCATCCTATGGTAAGTCCATAGTGGCCCTGCGCAAGGGATTGCACAGCATGATGAGCATCAGAAGGGATGCGGCGATGCGCTCGACGTTGTGCTAAAAAGCCAGCAATACTCACCAGATCCTGCAAGTCCACGAGGCAAATGTATCCGATCAGACTTCTGACGAGATGCGCATCAAGACAAGATGGGCGCCGTTGTACTCACGAAAGCGTTTTGCATGGCGAATTGCAAAACCATCAGACTGTTGCGTCGGGGATGAGTGGACAGCGCGGTCTGCAGATGGGAAGAAGCAAAAATGTCAGATCAGCATGTCTCTCTCTGGGTAGATGCTTTCGAGCACTTACCTGGACCAATTGAAGCTGAGTAAGGTCAAAGGACCAAAGACCTATCCTGCTGATGGCCAAGCCAGAGAACAGCAGAGCTGTGTTCCAAGCCGGTCTGTACTTTTCCGGTTCCGCACCGATGTACAATGCGATCAGAGTGAGGACGAGAGGAAGGAGGAGGATGAAAAGTGACCAAGTACCCGTTCTGACCAGCCCTATTTTGCGATGGGAAAATGGAGCATAAAAAGTGCCCATCAGACCTGTGAAAACGCAAATGGACCTCATGCCTGCCACGAAAGCATCGCTAAGGCAAGAGATGGAAGAAGTGAGCTCGACGTGAAACCAGCGATGGAACGGAAGATGCTGGCGGACCGCTCCGCTCGACTCACCTGTACGTCGTTTCGCTCTTGAGATAGGCGATGAACTGAGGGTCAAAGCTGAGCGCGCTCATGTACAGCAAAGCGATGGTGATGGAAGATGTGAAGATCGGCATGATTGCAAATGTGCGCCAGTCCAGCGCCTGACTTTTGGCCCAAACGTACAGCTTGCGCTGAGAGCTCAACATCCGCGCCCGGGATTCTTTAGGCAGCCGGAAAGATGCTGCCGCTTGCGCCTCGCTGGCAACTGCCTCGATTGGCGCAGGGCTAGACAGCTCGATGGCCTCGTGCTCCTCGCCGATCAGTCGATCTTCATCGGCTTTGAGCGCGCCGAAGCGATGATACACTGTGCCGATCCAGATGATCTCAAAGCCAGCAGTTGCTCCGCTCATGCCAAGCAAGATGACGCAGCTGGTGGGATAGCCAGCTGTGGAAGTGAGCAGTGAGACGAAGAGCGGGGCCAAAAGCTTTGTCAACAGATCGATGCGCCGCCTGGTATTTCCCAAGCATTGCGGGGAAAAGGATTTTCGGGTCAGCACAGCAAAGCGTGCTGATTGCTATGTATGTAGGCGCTCTCGAAGGCGCTCACATGATCGCATTTAGCCTTGAAAGTCGGGCTTGAGAGCCTTCGGAGATGGTCGTCACCCAGTCTCGCTCGACTGCCACCGAGACACCTACGTTGCTCAGGCTTCGGAGTGAGATAGAGACGCAAGAGCGGCTGGTCAGCGCGGCATGCGAGCCGTATGGAAGGTCGGCAATACTCACATGAGGGGGCATCCAGCGATGACGATGGCGGCAAGCAAGGACCACACGTTGGCATTTCTAGCTCCACCGTCCTGTCCTCGTCCATCATTCTTCGCATCGCTCTGCAGATTTTTAACGTAGAAGAGCAAGCAGAAGAGACCATAGCTGATCATTGTTGCGAGCTTTTGAGCGACAATAAATGCTCTGACGCAGTCAAGCTTGCGAGTCCTGAAGCGATCCACAAGGGTACCCATGCTTCCAGAAAATACGATGGCAATGGCGGTGGTGAGAAAGCCGTAGAGGGAAGAAGGAAGCAGGGTGTTGGTGTATAGATGTATAAAGAAGAGTGGAAAAGCGAATTCTGAAGAGCGAGAGATCCAAGAGTTGGAAAAGTGTTGGACCGAAAGAAGCACCAGAGCTACCTTGTCCAACGAAGACGATGCAAAAGGGGCGTCTGTCAGGTCATTGACCTCGCTCGCAGCGTGATTCGCCCGATCGCTCGCTCTCGGGTTGTTTGCAGGTGGGTCAATCTCCGTGCCTGTAGAAGGCAGGACGGTGCCCTCTGCCTCGTTTCCTTTGCGAGCCCCAGCAACGCTCATGTTGCCGATCCTTGCTTAGTCCTTTGATATCTGCGCTCCAAATTTAAGCTACCATTCCTGCGAGGGAGGGTGCGGGCGAGCGCGCATTCAGATGATCTGAACAAGAGCAAAGCCCAAGCTGTCGCTTTCTTCTACACAGGCGTCGTGGTGATTGCGAAGCGAAAGGATCGGCTCAATCACGAGTCACGAGTACAGTCAGTCACTGCAGTCACACGTACAATCACGAGTCTTGAGTGTGCGCGCAGCATGCATGCATCATCCTCGCTTAAGGCTGCGTGCGCTATGGGCACGACGCCGACCGCTCGCTTCCATCAAGGATCGAGACTGAGTCACGGTAGGTCAAGATGTGTGAATTTGTACTTCACGACTGCGATAGAACGCACGATGCGCAGAAGTCGCTCAACCCTACTACAGCCACATGGTCGCACACTCTGACTCGATTCGACCCAATCGCTCAGGCGTTTCTACAAGCACATGCAATCGGGATCATGTATGCTTGGTAAAATCCTCACTACGAGTCTTAGTGTCGAGTGTCGGTGCGGGGAAAGAAGAGGCGCAAGAGAATGCTGCCGAAGGGGGTATGATAGCCGCTACTACGCGCGAGACAGGCGTCGTTGGGAAGGCGAGAGGGAGGGTGAGAGGGGCAGAGGGAGAGAGGGGGAGAGAGAGTGTGTGTGTATGTGGTGCGAGGGTCCAGAGAGTGGGAGTCGACTCGCTGGGGGGTATTGACCTGATCCTCATTGTCAGCCTTAAGCGATTGTGAATGACCACCTCTGGGCAAACTTGAAAAAGCTCCTTTCGGCTTCTCCTCGCGAGTACGTGTAGGACATCATTCCGCCTTCGTTCGACGAACGTCCTTGGCCCCCACACCACTCCTCTCTTGCTTAGTCCTACCATCAAGATGCGCCAAATACCCTATGGTAATCTCTGTTTAGCGCTAGTCTGATGCTGCGCCAGATGGGCGCATGTTCGGCGCGATGCTTAGAGCACGACGCAGTTGCAACCTCCACCGCCAGGAGCGTAAGGGTCCTCCTTCTTGTCCAATGTGCCCCATACCGATGGGACAAGGCAGTCGCGAGTCGATTTGCAGTAACGGATCAAGCTGCGTGTGTGACCAGGGAGAATGAAAGGGCGAGGGAGCACGACGGTGAGCATACACGGCGCATTTCAGAAGCACAAATACGCGAGCTCGAAGCTTCGCAATGCGGTGCGAGGCCCAACGATATCACTCGCTGTAGCCTAGCCAAGCGCTGCAACACCTCTCGCTCCCAACTTCGCACCGGTGTGCCCACCCCTCACGACGCGGCCATACTCAGTAGCTTGCTTGCTCGACATGAGAGCGCACAACTCACCTTGCACTAGCTTCGCTGACTCTGACACGAGGTCTGTCCAGATCCTCTCTCAACCTCTGATTGTGCTCAGCCAACCTCCTCAGCTTGAGCTCCGACATGGACTGTTTGTGAGGTCGGTTGTTGTTCATCTTGTCGAGACGAATCCACTCGTGCGCAATTGTCTCCGGAAGATGTGATGCACTCCAATGCCTGTCTGTACTTGTCTGGAACACGCGCGCGCGCTCCACTCAAGAAGTGTCGATGGAGCGTTGACGGTGGACAATCTTCGCACCAAAGGAGCAGTAAGGAGCGTCGATGTGTATCGACTCCTGTCGACGCTCTATACCCGTGCAAGAAAGAGTACAGTTGTGTGGATAAGTGCGCGCTGTCAACTCGACGTCTTGTCGGAAGCAAGACTCGAAAGCTGCCCTTGATATCGACCCGACCCAAACAAGGAATCTGAAGTGAGTGAGCGCAGAGCGAGATCGCGTCCGTGGTTGTGAGTGTGCGTGGTCAAGATCGTTTGGGCACTGTGAAGAGCAGTCGCGGCATGAGTCACAGTGAGTCTAGTCTACCCGCGATGCTCACCCACGACTCCACGCTTCCCTTTGCATGGCTCCCATATGCAGCATCAACGTACTCACACTCACCTGCTGCTTGACCATCAGCCGCGCACGAAAGCGTCGCGGCGCAGGCGTCCCAGATTGATAGAGCGCGGTCCCTCCTCTTCCCGCGCAAAGGGGCAGCACCACATCTGCTGCTGACATGTCTGATGTGTCTGCACGTCCAATAAGGCATCATGCGCCCGCGCGGGCGTCGTCACGCTGATCCTGCGCATTCCTGTGCTCGTAAAGCCTTCGCAGCAGCTAGCACTCACGACTATACCTACACATCAGGCGACGATGCAGGTGCAGCAAGCTACCACACGTGATCGCCTGAGCAACCGTTACTCAAACTGCAAGCGCAACAATCAAGAATCTCGAGTAAGATTTTCAAGATTTACACATCCCCTGCTCACTTTGCCTTTCAACGAATCTCAAGCAACCTCGCTTCCAAGTCGTTCAAAATGGCACACGATCTGATCATTCTTGCCTCTACTACTAGTACTACTGCACGGGAAGCGCCAAGCGCTTCGTGAATCAGTACGCTCAAGAAGGGAGCGGGCCCGATCCCCAGCTTCATACGCACGCGCTCATGCACGCAAAGAACCTCGCAGCGCACCTTGCTCTCTCCAAGCTTTTCATCCACCCACATTTTCATTGCTCGAATCACGCACTGACATGTACTGAGCCGCAGGATGAATTTTGAGTCTGGGACGCTCTCTATCGGACATTTGAAGCGCTACCAAGCAAACTTTGCAGTTCGCTTTAAGCAGTGTAAGTGGACGCCGAGACGTTACCACCGCGGCCGGTCCACTACGCAACGGCAACAAGGAATGCAAAGAATCAGTCAGCGGACTAACATCAGGACGATATCATGTTGCAACGCATCTGTAACGGATCACTCACGTTGACGTGGACATCTTGACCAGCCTTGAGCCTGTCGTTCTCCTTTCCGGGCAGCACGCGGAAGGTGTGGGCACCAAAGTAGTCACGCTGAGCCTGCAGCAAGTTAGCAGGCAGGCGCTCCGTGCGATAGCCATCGAAGAAAGCCAGGGCAGTGGAGAAGGCAGGAGTGGGGATACCCCAGAGCACAGCCTGAGCGATCACGCGACGCCAGCCGACCTGAGCATCGTGGATGGCCTTGTTGAAGAAGTCGTCAAAGAGCAAGTTCTCCAACTGGGGGTTCTTGCGGAAAGCGTTGGTAATGTCCTTGAGGAAGACGGAGCGGATGATGCAACCACCACGCCACATGAGGGCAATGGAGGGGTTGTTCAGGGTCCAGTTGTACTCCTTGGCAGCCTCGCGCATGAGCATGAATCCTTGAGCGTAGGACACAATCTTGGAGGCGTACAGAGCTTGCTCGAGGTCGTCGATGAATTGTTGCTTGTCTCCAGCGAAGGCGACCTTTTGGGGCCCAGAAAGACGCTGAGACGCACGGGTACGCTCGCCCTTCAAGGAAGACAAGCAGCGCGCAAAGACGGCCTCACCAATGAGAGTGACTGGCTGACCGAGGTCGAGTGCGTTGATGGCAGTCCACTTGCCCGTACCCTTTTGACCAGCGGAGTCAAGGATCTTCTCGATCATAGGCTCACCATCGTCGTCGTTGTACTTGAGGATGTCACGAGTAATCTCGATGAGGAAAGAGTCAAGCACACCGGAGTTCCACTTGGTGAAGATGTCGGCAATCTCCGTGGGAGGGAGGTCGAGGCCTCGCTTGAGAATGTCGTAAGCCTCGCAGATGAGCTGCATGTCTCCGTACTCGATACCGTTGTGGACCATCTTGACGTAGTGGCCGGCACCGCTCTGGCCGACCCAGTCGCAGCATGGCTCACCATCGGATTGCGCCGCGGTCTTCTGGAAGATCTCCTTCAGGTGAGGCCAAGCAGCATCTGATCCACCGGGCATGATAGAAGGACCGTGGCGAGCTCCCTCTTCACCACCAGACACACCAGCACCGACGAACAAGAGACCCTTGGACTGGAGTGCCTCGGTGCGGCGAATCGAGTCTGGGTAGTGCGAGTTACCTCCGTCGATGATAATGTCTCCCTTCTCCAGGTGAGGGGTGAGCTGGTCGATAAAGGCGTCGACTGCAGGTCCGGCCTTAACAAGGATAATGATCTTGCGAGGGCGCTTCAGGCTCGCCACAAACTCCTCGATGGAGTGCGTCCCGACAACGTTTGTGCCTGACAAGAATTTCAGTCAGCCAAATTCGCTCCTGTATCGCAGTCTGACTGCGCTAGGCGCTCACCCTTGGCTTCGTTGTTCATGAAGTCAGTGACCTTGGAGGTTGTTCGGTTGTAAGCCGCAACAGTGAAGCCCTTGTCTGCAGCCGAAGGGGAAAGTGAATGGGTTGAATTAGCCTTGCTGCTAGTAGTTACAATCTTCGAAATGCGCCTACCCGGCAGCATGAGGTCCTGTCAGATAGTCGAACGACTGATACTCACCGTTCATGTTCAGGATCAGGTTCTAGAGATAACCGAAATCAGTGCGGTCAAGAGCGTTGTCAGTTTTGCCGTGAGGACTGTAGCTATCGCCCGCCCACTTACCTGGCCCATGACGGCCAGACCGATCAGACCAATGCTGCAAGGAAGGAGCGATTCAGAAGGGAGGTAAGCCATTGCAATTTGTGGAGCTGCTTGCAAGTGCGCGGACCATGCTGACGCCTACTCACTCAGCAACGGCGGTCATCTTGCGATGCGAAGATGTGTGGAGGTGTGAGGTGAGGGAGCGGAGACGCGATAAAGATCGAGACAACAGCGTGGACTGCTTGTCTGAGGTTGAATGAGCTGTAGCCACGTGAGTGCGCGGGTTGGAGCTTGGCGGTGAGGTCGACGAAGTCGAGCTAATTGTTTTGGAATGGGTGGTGGATAAGGGTGACGATGGAAACTTCATGCGGGCGAAGGAAAGTGACGCCCGTGGAGGGATCCGCCACGCGCGCACGTACGAAGCAGCAGCAGCGCAGGGCGATGGCAGGCGCAAATCGATCGAGGCGGGACTTTGCCGGTGACGACACGCGCTGCAGCGCTCCTGTTGTGAACGTAGCGAGCGCACTTTTGGGGCTGGTACTCTCTCTCTCTCTCTGTGTGTGTGTCTCTCTGACAGCGGTGTTGTGCACCGCTTCTATACACGACTGTATGCTCTGATTAATCTTGGTTCTTGAACTCAGCTATCGATAGAGCCAGCGTGTATGGATCATGTGTAAGCGCTTTTCTTTCAGGTGGAGTCATGAGTTGGCAGGGGCCGGCAGTACGTGCAGCGAGCACGGCTCGCTTATTGGGATCGTTGCGCAGAAGTTTTCGGTGTATAGTGCGCCGTCTCGCTGGCTGGCCACCACCAGGAGCAGCAGGAGCAGCAGCAGCATGCATCCATGACGCTGCGCGCGTGCCCTTTGCGCGGCTGACGCTCGTGCTGTTGCTCTGCGGGCCTGCGAGGGAAGAGGCGGCCGGCCGGGTGCCATGGGGAGCAGCACAGGTCAACGCACCAAAGCCTCTTGCGAAGCCGTGCACCGATCATGACTGCTGATGCTGCCTCTACACCGGTGACTGGCGCACGGGCTCACGCGGGCGCACGCGCACGCTTCCGCTGATACATGCATGTATATCGATGCTGCGCTTGCTGCTTTGCATGCATGCAGACTTCGCAGGTGGAGTTTGGCATCAGCTACAGTCGTAGTCACGAGTCGCTATCAGTGGTCGTGAGTAGCACATGCAGTCGCGGCTCTTGCTTGGGCGCGCACGCAGGAGAAGGAGAAGCGTTCATGCA